AGTCATTACTTTTGCTCAGAAAAAAATTTAATTAGACACAACACATTCTAATGCATGGATGAAAGTTTAAAAGCGGTATTGCACTTTTATTCTTTTGATGCTTGAAAACCCCTTTACGGCTTTGACCCAAGTGTGTACTAGGGACAAGGCATGGACATGAGGGTAAATGATGACACGCTTTGTTATTTTTAGGTGCACTATTCCTTGAAGTCTACAGGAAGTGCGCATTAGTTAAGGTAGCAGTAACGCGTGGGTGGCCAAAGGCTCCTCTGCAACAAGGCCGGCCTGTAAACGCCGCTGCGGCTCTGGGCTGGATTCTGAGAAGAGGAAGCCGTGTCTCGCCCCTGTACTGTCATCACGTCTGTGCTGCGCTGCGCTGTGGTGTGGTGGGGGGAGAAAGGAGAAAGGTCACAGCCTCTTTGAGTCTGATCAGACAGAGGTGAGATGAAAGCGTTCGCTACAGTAACCGCAGGCATCTGTCCGCTGAAAGGTCACGTTTGACCAGCGGGGAATCTGTGATTTCAGAGCATTCGTTTGGTTTGCTGAAAAGCATCTTTATGAGACTAAAAAACACTATGGGGTAGAGTTTTCACAGCTGTGATCCGAGGAAGGCTCAGCCCTTCATCAGACAGATTGCTGTCGCACAGCTGCAAGCTGTAAATCTAGACTGTTGGACACAGTATTACTGAGATTCTTGCTATTATCATCTATATTTACATTTGAATTACATTATTTAGGAAATGCTTTGGATAAACGACTTAGTAAACTCACCCTCTGGCCATCCGAGATCAGGATGAGTTTGTTCCTTCATCAGATCTGGAGAAATGTAGCATTGCATCAGTGTCTCAGCAATGGATGCTCTGCAGTGAATGGGTGCCGTCAGAATGAGAGTCCAAACAGCTGATAAAAACATCACAATAATCCACACCACTCCAGTCCATCAGTTCACATCTGGAGAAGAGAAAATAGAAAAACAAAATCAAACATTAGCCAGACGCTTCTGGCTAAAATATGAGATTTCGGTCTAATCGAGTCCAACTAACTTGTTACCTGACAGGTTTTGACATCCCATGTTTTAACTTTTATAAAAAGCTCAAAAGTTATACAGGACAATCGGTGCAAACATTCACGTGTAAATATACTCTTTATATACTGTGCACAGGCTTTGTTTCAGTTGATTAAAATCAGTATTATTTTAGCATCATATACTAGTTTTTGTTAATATTTTGAATACAATTTTAAATGTTCTGTTTTCATTTTTATTTTAATTGTGTTTTTCTTTTAAAATAAGTCTATATCGTTTTTTATTGAATATTAGTTCTTAGTTTTAATTTATTTAGTTTTAGTTATTTTAGTACTTCAGCATAAACTAATAAATATGAGAATTTTTGCATTGGCACCTAGCTGAAAAAATAAGTTTACCTTTGTTTTTTTTATATTTGATTTTATTTCAGTTAATGTTTATTTTATTTCAAGTAATGAAAATGTTTTTTGGATTTAGTTAATGATATTAATAAGTTCATAATATTTTGAATGACATTTTATTTTGATATTTTCTGTATTCATTTTAAATTTTAGTTAAAGTTTTAGTGGTTTTTAAAATAGTTTTTATTTGATTAGTTCTTAGTTGTAGTTTTAGTTATTTTAGTAGTTCAATATAAACTTAATTAAAATGAGAAATGTTGCCCTGAAAAATGTTTACTTTTATTATTTATTTTAATTCAGTGAATGTTTATTTAATTTCAAGTAATGTAAATGGTTTTTGGTTTTAGCTTTGGATAATGATATTAATATATGAATAATATTTTGTATTGAATTTTATTTTTATATTTAATATTTTCATTTTATATTTAGTTAAAGTTTTAGTAATTTTGTTGTGTTTTTGTTTTTTTAAGTATATCTGTATACTTTTTGATAGTTTTTATAGTTTTGTTATAGGTTTTTTATTTTATTTTAGTACTTTTTTTTATTTTGTTTTAATATTTTATTTCAGTTAATGTTTATTTTAATAATTTTTTTTTTATGTTTTAGTTTTAGTTAATAACCCTGATTAAATCCTGAGTTCATTAAAAACGGCATCAAGCGCTCATGTCATTCATGCTGCAGCGCACCGGATGTAAAGATGTAAAGTTAGCGTGCGGTTAGGAAATGGCTCTATTTTCTGCATCAAGGCTTGGAGTGAGCTATTTTGGTAGCTCTTCTCAAAGCCTGAGTGCTGCACAAGCGGGTCAAGCTTCCTGTGGGGTGTGTTTTAGACTTCATCGCGTGTGTGTGAGCTGAAATGACAGGTGCCTTCAGTAGCAGAGAAAAGGGCATTTACTGTCAGCGGAAACCAGCACGAGTGTGTGTGTGTGTGTGTGTGTGTATATGTGTGTGTGGCGTAGAACCCTCACGTCAGTCAGACGCTTCTCGCTCTGACCTGTGTCTCATGGATTGCACTAGGGGCCAGGTTAGTCTGTTACACTCTCTGAATGTTTGTGTTTGTGCTGCTTTATGATACTTAGTCATATTGACTGACTGACTGCATATTTTGTAAGATGGACCCAGAAAAACCTTTATCTCAAGTGCATTTAAAGAATCATTTATGCAAAATGGTTTAGTCTTTTTTTTATTCTAGGTGCTTGTATTTATGATAAAGTTTGTTGAATGCTGAATCTGTAATGGCTCGTGATGCTGATATGGCAATGCATTTAAATAAAACCAACCATACTGACCGTCTGTGCTCTGAATCCTGCACGCAACCTGTGGACTTGTAAAGCTTTCGGATAGAGTTGCATTTGTGCATTTGTCTCATTACTTTGCTGAATATTTATGCATGAAAAGTTTGCATGCTTTTTTCTCGCTGTAGCTGCAAAGCGATCTTGAGTTTTAAAGATATGATGCATTATTATCAGCCTGTTCCTGGAGTCAAGTTTGATCAGTGTTTTTTAATGTGTTTTTTAAAAGTCTGAATTTTGCAGCATCCCGCGTCCGATTTATTTAAGTGTGTGTTTGCTGTTGTACAGTATGTTTAAAATTGTGTAATGCACGATGAGATTGAATGAAAACTAAATTTTTATGGTTTGTAGACCCTCTTTCAATGTGTGTGGGGGATTTTTTTCCATTTTCTGATCTAGTGGGTGAAAATGGTGCGTCTGATTACTTAGTAAAGTAAAATAACACCTATGTTTTGAGGAATCATTCATGTCTGGAGCACAAACATTGCAGGAATCAATCTTAAATATGAACAATATTAATAGTTATGCTTGTAAATTAGAAATAAGATGTTAGAGTGAGATGTGTTGAGCTCTGCTCCTCCCTTTAGGTCTAACATGGAACTGCAGGCTGTGTGTGTGTGTGTGTGTGAGTGTGTGTGTGTGTGTGTGTGTGTGTGTGTGGGGTGTGTGTGTGAGTGTGTGGGGTGTGTGTGTGAGTGTGAGAGAGAGAGAGTGTGTGTGTGTGTGTGTGTGTGTGTGTGTGTGTGTGTGAGAGAGAGAGATTGTGTGTGTGTTTCTGAGGTTGGAGTGAAGTTGTGTGGTTTCTTGGTGTAAAAATATAATTCCATTAAAGGTTTGTGGGAGATGTAATGATGTGTAAAGAGCCGCTCGAGGAGGACATTTATTACGTAAATGAACGAGGGTGACTGGAACGAAAGGAATTTTC